TCTAGACTAACGTCCCTTTTGTCCTTGGTTAGGGAGATGACATGGTTTTGCCACCCATGTGTTGAACGGGATGAAATATGTTACGCTACAAAGCGAGATTTCGTGACATGGGAAAAGTTATGCCATAATATGTAGTCAAATTCCTCCTTTGACATCCGAAGAAAGTTTCGGTAGCTTTCCTTGTCTTCGTTTAGTAATTCGGGTAATAACCTGTTGTAAACGCCTAATTGGGGCCTTCTGTCTATCCATGGGCGTGGACATGTTACAGCGGTACACAATGCTTTCTTCGTCTTCGTTTTTCTTTTTTTTTCTTTTTCACCATTAATGCCTGCACCACCTTTTGCACCACCTGCAATAAGCAGGTGCGCACATACGTATTCTTCCTCCATTGCCCATCTTCTTACTGCAGTGTTTCAGTACTGCAGTGCTGCAATCTACAATACAACTACAGTAATCGGGGTCACATCGGGGGCAAGATGGACAATCGGTAAGATTTGCTGACAAAAATCGATAGTGTAAACAGCAACTCAACACCAACTTCTATCGGGTCAAGTCGGGGGCAAAGTTGGAATGCACTTGAAATCGGTATGATTTGCTGACAAAAATTATTATAGCAGCCTCATATATGCCTTATAGCAGCCTTAACAGTATTATAGCAGCCTCATATATGCCTTATAACAGCCTTAGCAGAATTATAGCAGCCTTATATATGCATTATAACAGCCTTAGCAGAATTATAGCAGCCTTCACAGCATTATGCCTTATATAGGCCTATGCCTTATAGTAGCCTTAACAATATTATAGCAGTATTTCAGAAGCCATATTTAAAGGCGAGGTTTCGCTACTACGGCATTGCCTCACATGACCAATCATTTTATTTATGTATTTTTACTTCATATTTTATTCATATTTTTCTATTTGTTTTTATTTGATTTATTAAACATGTTATTTATTATTTATTTTCAGACATTGATCATTGCCTCGTCAAAGCAAAGCTGAGCTGCACGTTTGATTTTGTATTTCAGATGAATTGGAATATTTTAATATAACTCCTGACTTCGTTAAAAACCGCCAGTTTAGATGTGTCGGTCTGTGTAAGTGTCCCGAACAGATAGAATAGGCCATCCTTACCAATATGAGGAGAGACAGCCTGTCGCCATGACGACGATCCCGACTGGATTCCTCCTAGGTGCGCGCCCCGCCTAATTATTTTAAATTCGTTTGGATTAATTAACCGTTTTGGGGAAGTTCTTGTGAGTTAGCGCCGTGACCATCGATCGTGCTATTACTTCTACGCGAATTGCTTCACTCGTGGTACAGGGATGTTCCCACGCTGGGCGGTGCTGTTACTTTTGATTTCCAACCGGCACTCAAAACAAATTGCCGTTTTCCGCCCGGAACAAAATTACATCAAATAGGACATCATTATTTAGGAATGGTCCATTGAGTGAATTATTGTAGAAATCAATCAACAACAAAGTCTGATTACCCGGCACTCAACATTTTTTGGGTCCATGCTTCTAATCGATAGCCGATTAATGGCTCTTGCTTGATAAGGAGTACGTGCTATTACATTTACGCTAATAGCTTCACACGAAGAATTGGCAGAATGGCATTCACAATTTCAGAGAATTGGCTATACCATCAGATTATGATTATAGTGACAATTGTGATTTAGTGCGCAAAAGAAAAGACTGGCCAAGCGGCATTCTGAGCTGGCTAAGCCAAAGAAGCTGGAGAGAGCACCGAAGAAACCTCGCCTTGTACACAATAGAAAGAGAGCATCTCCCAAGTGCAAGAGAAGACTAGACAGGTCAGAGGGGTCAATGGCAGGTTAAGGTCAGAAGGGTCAATGGCAGGTTAAGGTCAGAAGGGTCAATGGCAGGTTAAGGTCAGAAGGGTCAATGGCAGGGTTAAGGGGTACCATCTGGTCAGAAGGGAAACCTGTATACCCAGAAGAACACACAGGAATTACCAAAAAGTTTCTTTTGTATATATAGGCAGGTGGCCGTTCTGTAGAAGTGGTTTCACAATAGGTGACACTCGAAAAAAATGTCAAGAGTCATCTGTATAGATGCATGCATGGTGTTCATATTATAGAGGAATCTCAGCTAATACAGCCTTATCTCTAGTGAAGGCAGTCCTGATGATTTTTTAGATACTATGACCAGGAGGCAAGCAGCAGTGCTGTGAAGAATGTTGAGGCGGTGAATGACGCAGAGCAGAATGAACATGGGTAAATGTACAAAAATATATGTATATATATATATATATATATATATATATATGTGTGTATATGTATATATATCAAGATATATACATATATATCGTGATTTGTGATATATATAATGTGTAAAAGCTGGAATTATATTGATTACTTTTTTATTATTTTTTACATTTGTGTTCAGTTTGCTCTAAATAATGCAGAGAGTTTCTATACAGATACTATATACAGCTTCTTTTATGCTGCCATGCAGACACATTGAACTTTGATAACTCAAAAAGCCACCGTACGTTATATAGCTAAATAAATCTATATAAATTAAACTAAAACTTTCTTTTCATATCAAGCTACCTTAGCTTCCACCAGCAAGTAATGTTCCAACTGCAGACATTGATGCCTATGGCTGAGCTTCATTCTCCCTCAACAACATTCATGATCAAGCAAATGTGGAAGGCATGGCATATAGCTATAATATAATGGCAATAAAATTGTAAATTAGTGAACATCTGGCATGTTACACTAATGCCAGAGCAGGATGTGTTGCAGTTTGTTTCTTAAGTGGAAAATATTTTATTTTTACTCTGAGAGTCTCTAAGTGTGTAACCTCTCATGTTCCTAAGCTGGGCAGGACATAATGTTTTGCATGAAGATTAATTAATTGCCAATCTAAGGCTCCTATTCTTTTCAGGAATTACCAGATGAGCATAGGGTTACCATGGCTACCTTACATCAACAGACAACAGGTGGAGCCAGTAGTCCTCTATGTGCTGATCTGCGTCATGATACCACTGACGTTTCAGGCGACCCAACGTGCACTCTTGATCTGGGTAAGGCAAAAATGCCCGCAATCTGGCCATGCGTCGTTGTCTCGCTTGAAAATCGCGAGCGTATTGTGTTCGAGTTTACGCGCACATTGTGACACAAATTAAGTCTACCCTTGTTGCATAGGTTGCGCCTTGGTGCCTGTTCTACAAAAGAACCGTTCCATGTTTGGAGACATGGTGATGGCTGCAGAGGCTGAGGAAGAGGAGGAGGAGAGGGATGGATGCGTTCCTTGCACACCGAAGAGACCTGCACAACAACGTGGCTTCACTCAATCGCAGTTATCGCCGGTCCCAGCCCTAGATGCTTCCACCTGCGTGATTCTACCCATGGCTGAGGTATAGCTGCCGAATATATGGCCCCCTTCTAGTACTGAGGAGGTCGTATGATCAAGCAAGCTTGTCATACTTGCTTAGTATCCTCAATGTGTTTCTTTGCTGCAGTTTCGGAGCGATATTCGTTACGATACAAAATACTCATCAAGTGCCATGCAATTGTTATCATTATTTTTACGTCCCTGCCAAACAGTTATTAGAAAAATGCTGTTGATTGCTAATTCGATGAGTAAAATTAAATGCGGAGACTGCCAGTCGGTGTGCATAATTATCAATGATATTGTATTGCAGGAGAGTGGTAAGACGGTGCTACCGTTTGTCGATGCATTGAGTCCGGCCACTTTTAACGCTTGCCTGATGCCTCCCATGCCATCCATGAACTGCGACGATACCCAGGCGCTGAATAGCAAGCTTGATATGGGTGGAGAGGAGGACCTGAGTCTGTGGGATACTGAATCCATGGTAAGTTGGGGAGGGTGCATGTTAATGTGTGTGACCGTTTGCTTTTCTGGGTTAGCAGTGTAGTTTCAACAAGGAGTGACACTACTAGCAGTAATGTCAGAGTAGAAGCATCTAAGAGTAACAGTAAGAAAGCCAGACTTGTCAAGTAAAGTAAGTGCTACCACCGTATTAAAGTGGAACTGTTAAGCTATCCTGATTCTCTAAGGGATATCTCTCTTCTTTAGACTCTAATTAGGTTTACAAAATTGTAACATTTTATATTCTTGACTGGTTTCTGTTGCTGCAGTTTTCAGATGTATGTAAGAGCATGGAGGAGCCGATTCCCTTTAGTGCCTACGTGGAGAAGCATTCAGACTGCGGAGGGCTGGGCTGCACACAGCACCATTGTGCCTGCAGAAATAGCAACAAGGACGATGTACAACGAGTCCCAGACTTTGTTTGTTGAAGTCATGCAGCTAGCAATGAAGTTGTACAAGGTGGAATTACATTTTTTTATGTGCGATATGAGACTAGATTTCGAGTTAACTATGTTACAATTGATAAACGGGCTATGTGAACTTTGTAACCCCTTTGCTCCTGCTACAGGAGCGAAAGGGCTACACCGGTAGAGCTAGGTGAATGGGAGTTGTTAATGGCGCATGATTAGATGGTGTTGCACCATTAATTCACACACTACTTGAAATTTTCCAGTGTTTTCTATCTATTTATGGTTGTGTGACAGTCTTTATAGCACGGTTGGTTGGTTTTTTATATTTGTATTTGCAAATTTGACGAAAAACCATTATTGTAATACATTTAATTGGCACACGCCAGTATGTTTAGCAATTGTGTTATGTAAGTTTTTCTAGTTGTACTTTAATAATTGGCTACGTGTTAGATCCAGACGGGTTAGACAGAGAGACACAGTGAGAGTGAGAGTTGAGAGAGAGAGTGATATAGATGGCGAGAGAGAGAGAGTGTCTTACAATTTGCTTGTAATTGGTGATACTGATTATTGTGCGGCTGAAAAAATTGCCGCGTTGTCATTTATACTTAAAATATGACTCAATATACGTTGATGATGTACATGTATTTTTGATATTTCAACACGTTGAATAATTGGTTTAAAGTAATTCTGTTTTCTTAATCGTCAATTTTCTTGCTGTGATTTCACATTACATAGTTGTTGGTTTGCATCGCCAATGGTTTATACGTTTGTGAGCAATTAACAGTTTATAATTGTGTGTATGTATTTCGAAAATAAAGTGGTTTTATATATTTGTTCTTTTTCATAAGAAATATCTACCTTTCACGATTTTGTTTGTTATTGCTGTATTTTAGTTCTTTTAAATGTCATTGGATAGCTCTCGCTCGGTCTACAAAATTAAAATGCTTGCTCGCTCATCTCCCCCTGAGGGACCCTCACACATCTTTCCCTTCTATCGTCTCGTCTATCGTCCCTTCTGTCGTCTCTTCTATCTCCTCTCCTTCACTGGCGCACACATATACATTGTCTGTCAATAACTCCATTCGCGCGCGCATTTACGTACATGCGTGCGTGCGTTTGTGACTGTGAGTGCGTGCGTACTGGAATTACGCGTATAGTGTGTGCGTACTGGGATTACGCGTATAGTGTGTGCGTACACACTATGTACACCGTGATGAAAAGCATCGCGGGTGCGCGTGATTCAATTAATTAATTAAATTGAAAACGTCCCATTTATATTACGTTAGCAAACAACAGTGCATGTGTTAATGCTTGAGGAGCGCCTTATCATTAAAGAATACCCCCCCCTCTTCCTTATATGCATTAATTCGCTTCCGTAAGGACCTAGCATTGGCCAAGCCAGATGAAGCCCTCCCTTCACTTGCCTAGAGCCCTCGGCTTTATAACAGCCCAGCGCCATCTGACGGAACAAATGTTTAAAAGCAGTAACTAGACTTTTAACACTACATCAAACGCTACAGTATTGTGTGTATGTAAATATATATACATAAATATATCGCATGGTACCACAGCCCTAACAGAACACGGCGAAATGTCACTGTATTTGATATTTTTGTAAATGTATACCGGAATGCTATCTTAACTGTTTCTAAATGAATATCTTCAATATCTTGTATGCATCCCTATTATCTACTCCTGATATATGTACATACCTTCCGCGCAATGTCACGTTAATTATTACCACGTACGCTGGTACCTTGTACTTATTACGTATATTAAATGTATACCACATAATTTAATGTTCATTATCTCGATACCGATAACTTGTAATTGCTATTAATTGTATTCCGCAGTCATGTTAATTATTTATACGCTGATATTTTGTAATTACTATTATCCCTAATGTATAGCGGGATGGCATGATAATTATATTTTTTACCGTACTATGATTTTGAATGTATGCATATGTATACCGGAATATCATGTTAATTATTTTTAGACTGATATCTTATAATCATGTATACAGACGAATATCGTGTTTCATTTAACAGTGATCTTTTAACTACATATGTATTATCCTAAATGTATACTGTCACGTCATATTAGTTCCACACACTTTAATATCTCGTAATTACTATTGTCCTACTTGCATAGTGCAAAGTTTTATCTTAATTTCTGATAACCTAAATGCATACCGGTATTATATAATAACATATAAATATATACAAAATATTACAATGATCCGAATTTTATATTGCAGAATGATATACTGTATTAATTACCCACACTCATTTCTTGTCATTGTTGTCAACCAAAATGTATGTGGCGGTATAACATGTTAATTACATTTCCAGTGTTTATACTTGTAATTGCTATATCACACTAACTTTATACTAGAATTAGTCTCAACTATTTCCACATTTCCATCTTGTATTTAGAATTATCCGAAATGTATAGTCGATTTTCATTTAATGAATATTATCCTATATATGTATACCAAGGAATGTCATCGTAGTTAGTAATTACAAGGTATTAGTGATATATATATCAGTATGACTACTATCCTAACTGTGTACAGGCGAATATGATGGTAATTAATCCATTCCTCACTGATATCTTGCAATTATCTTAAATGTATAGCATTTTATCATGCTAATTATTTCCATATTGATATCTTGTACTTAATCTTCTAGCTCCTATGTATGACAAACCTTCATGTTAATTACTTCCACATCGATGTATATTGTAGTTACTATTAACCTAGTTGTATAGCGGATTGTGACGTTCTTTATATTAAAATTAATTTTATAGTAAATGTATACCGAAATGTATACAAACTCCTGTCTTGTAACTATACGTACTATTATCCTAAATGTGTATAGCGTAATGTCGATCATGATATGTTATTGATTGATATATTATTCTTAGTGATATCTTGTACTATTATTTTAAACGCATACCGAAATATCATGTTAATTATTTCCTCACTGATAACTTCCACACGAACATCCTGAAATAACAATTATCGTAAACGTATACCGAATAATATCATGCATTTTCATCCTACTTCGCGTTCCAATATCTATATGGTCAGACACATCAGGCTATACGCTCGCAGTTGACCTGCCTATAACTCGGTAATTGGCTTCTTCTGATAAGTCCGCCGAAAAAGACCTACTATCGCCGAATTTACTAGTAAAAGTTATGTGTTTGTGATTAGGTGGTTATATGGTTAGGTGCCATAGGAATTTGGTTACGGTTAGTACGATTATTAGGAGTGTGCGTGCAGTTACGGTTACGGCCATGGTTGAGTGT